TAGGGTTTAGGGGCTTTGGATTTAGGTTTAGGGTTTAGGGGCTTTGGGTTTCGGGTTTAGGGTTTAGGGTTTAGGGTTTAAGGTTTAGGGTTTAGGGTTTAGGGTTTAGGGGCTTTGGGTTTCGGGTTTAGTTCAGGTACCGTTGGCTTTGGGCACGATATCGGGATCTTAATGCTTACAACGATAATTCACGCAGCTTTTTGAGTGGGGTGTATTATCGAATTACAAGTACAAGGGACCATAAGGGCTTATGACCATGATGCAGACTAAATGACTATATACAACACCTATGGACCTAGAATCCAACCCCTAGAGTACACTAATCTAGGATTGCGCTTCGGTCATGTGCCCAAGCTACCCAGAGCCACAAATCCACCAGTGCCACTAAGGCCTAAAACCCCAAACCCTGTACGGCCGAATCTCTCAAGCATATACCTATAGTCTCCATTGTAGTTCCTGTTTTTGGTGAACCAAATTTATATCATAGGATCCTAACCATAATTTTGGGTAGCCCCAAAAGAGGAACTGCAATCGAGACTAGAGGTAGTCCCCAAGCCTGTGAGGCCAAGAAGCCTCGGTAAAAGGTTCGTGTATCGATGCAGCAGGCGATAGTAGAGCTGCTTGAACTCATGGGGCGAGAGGAAGTGAGAATCCTGAGACACAAGCTACATGAAGCTCGCTCCCAATTCCCAGGCATCGTTGGGGCATAGCGATTGCGAACTTGTGGCATCGCTCTAGGACCCCCTCCTCAAGCTCACCCCACCCCGTGCCATGAGTAAACTTCAACCACGCATTTACCAGACTCTTGCAGATGCAACATCTTTCAGTGCATGGCATTCGTCCACATCCTTTGCAACGACTTGGTTTTGCGACTCAAACCGCTGCATCCCTGAGTCCTAAAAACTTTGTTCCCAGACTCCAGACAATAAGGGCTCAGATTGTTACGGGCGGTGTGCAGGCAAGAATGTCGGATTAGATCAGCCACGTAGTGAACCTCCACTAAAGGCTGCAACCCTAAAACCCCTGCCGGCTCCAAAGATCAGAAACTGCAGGGCTCCATCTATCTGCTCGGCAACAAAGTCAGGGCTGTTTAGGATGGACAAAACCCTAAAACCTAATTAAACCCTCGAGGGGCGCAGGGTCAAAGGGGGTTAGGGTTGCGGGCCTGAGGGTTTTAGTGTTAAGGGCTTGGCGCTGCATGGGTTTAGGAGTATGCAACTGTCAGGCTCACGTCTTCAGCAAGTCCGTTTGACCCTGGTAACCCTGAACGGGCCCAGGCCCTAAACCCTGTGAGCCTTGAGCGGTAAACCCTAAACCCTCGTGATGTGGGTAGCGATGAGGATCTCATGACGATTTCTGGCAACCCAGCCAGGGTGAAGCCAAATGCTCCCATTGTGTGTCATTGTGACAACCTACTGCTGGGGTGTAGGGTGTAAGTGCTTGGATCCGCAAGGGACTTATGGCACAAGCCTAAAGTTTCCAAACATTGTTGCTTGAAACTCCGTGTAAGGAAGAAGGCTACGCTATACACAAAGAAAGCCTACTATTCCAATGCCAAGGCCTCTATATCGTCCAAGCCCTTATAAAACCCAGATAACATCAGTATCCCTGCTTAGAACGTTTTAAACGGAGCTCCATAGCAACGACGCAGTTTAATGAATCGGGTCACTGGTTCCGGAGGTGAACTCAAAGCCCTAAACCCTAAACCCTAAGTTCGGAAGAGCTCGAACTCCAGACCGGCAATCGGGTTTGGGAGTTAGGGCTTGGGGTTTAGGTCTTAGGGTCAGGATTTTAGGGTTTATGGGCATGGGGTTTTAGGGTTAAGGGTTTAGGATTTTGGGTTTAGGATTTAGAATGCTTGCCCAGGTTCCCTATGCTAACCGCACATGATGCCCTCAGGCCAATCTCAAACCCCCGGTATAATATAGGGGCCTGAATAATTACCAATACTATGTTGAGGGGTCCTTGTATAGTTTAATTCTAGTATAATGCACCCCATAAACCTATTCTGATTATTAAGACCCCCATCTTTACCCCTTAGACAGGCTTTGTATTGAATCTCCACGGCACCCTTTTCGACTCCTTACAACAGGCCGTGTGAGATCGTTGTGGAACCCCCATTAGAAACCATCTTATCTAGCAGGCACCTGCCAAAATCATATGACGTATCTTTACAACCCGAAGTCCCGAAACAAAACAACGTGTGAGAACTTTAAATTACCCCTCATACGATCCCTTAAAGAACCCGCAAGCAACCCTTTTAGGAAGCTTGTAAGAGCTCTGAAAGAACCCTGAGAAACCCTTGTAGAACCACATAAAAGAAAAAACCCTAAACTCCAAATCCCAAATCCCAAACCCCAAACCCTAATCCCTAAAGCCTACACCCTAAACCCTAAACCCTAAACCCTAAACCCTAAAGCCTACACCCTAAACTCTAGCCCTCCCGGAAAACCTAAGCCCTAAAACCCCTACAAAGCTCCGAAGCTCCTCTCTTCTTCTCGACGGGCGGCGGCCGAGTGGGAGTCGAAGGCAAGCTTCACAAAGGCCCCGAACTCACCTCCCAGGACCTGCGCGGCTTTGCAGCCTGAGTTTTTAGGCTTATGGTTGTGTGAGGGTTTAGGGTTGAGGGTTTGGGGTTTGGGGAGTTGGAGGGGCCAGGGTGTCGGGTTGAGGGGTTTAGGCTGTTGGGCTTTGGGGTGTTTAGGGTGTTGGGGTTCAGTGTTTGGGCGCCAAGGTTTACCTAACGATTCAGAGTCTGGTGGGGGGTTAGGCGTTTTGGGTGTAGGGTGATTGGGACCACTCTGAAGCATATGGATGATCTGTGCGAATACACCCTTGTGGCCCCATGCATCGTGATACGCTAGCACACTCCGAAATTCTGCTAAGTGCTGAGTGCTAAGGCCCTTAAACCTAAGCCTTATCTCTATCTATCTATCTTTCCATCTGTCTGTCTGTGTCTGTCTGTCCATCTATCTACCTGTCTACCTATCTGTTTGTCTATCTATCTATCTACCTATCTAGCTAGAATCCATCTATCTGTATATACATAATACACATGTATGCACATATACCCATAGATCCACCCATGCATACATACATACATACATACATACATACATACATACATACATACACACACACACACACAGAGCCTTTCAGAGGTTAAGGCCCCAGAGGTTAGAGTTTAGAGCTAGTGTTCTTGGTATAGCGGCCTAGTACATTATGATACAGCATAGCAACCTTGTAGTATATCAGAGTACCTTAGATCTGGTATATGAATGTATATTGAAGAAGGCCTTGAAGCGTTAACACTANNACTGGGTGGCAAAGGTCGGGGTCAAAGTCCGGGTCAGATTCAGAGGTAATTTCGGTATGTCACCTTGTACGTGCTGCAGTCATTGACGATAGCTGGCGCCAATGAATTTAGATTAACATTTTAGATGATTTAGATGACATGGCAACGTCACGAAGGATGCCAAAGTTGAGTGCAAGACACTCTTCTTTCGGCCTCGCAGTATCGGCTCAGTGGATGGCAAGCTGAACTTGGCTCATTGGCAAAACGAAGTTTGCGAAAGTTAAAATCGCAAGGGAATGGCACTTGCTCAGTGAATTTTTCACTGATCATGACCCTCATCTGGCATAACAACATCACTTTCGGCCGCTGTTTCACTGTCCGATTCATGCTCGATTACAAATGGGACGGTCGTTGCCTGAGAGGTTGGAGTTGGCACCACCCCTTGCCGCCAGTGTCCACGGGTCGACCCGAAATCGCCGTAAGCAAGAACCTCAACTGAAGTATTATGGAATTATGGCACGAAAAATAATTCTGCATATGATCTGCATATGAGTCTGATGCCGCGCGAGTAACAGCCAGCAGGACACTGCCGATCACGGGCATGCTCATGCAGTTTCCTGGTCGTAACATTTGGGGCTGGGGTGGTTAGCCTCAGCAACACCCAACAAAGAAAAAAGAAACTTCACATCGCACAGCAGCCAGCAAGCAAGGGCCACAGGTGGTACTTGGTGCAGCCCTTGAAGCACAAGTTGTCCACGCGGAAGCCCTGCCTCAACCAACTCGAATCCGACATGGTGACATTATTCAACTCCTGAAAGGTAATGCTATAATAGGCTAGTCGTCCAGTCGTACAGTAACTAGTAACTACTACGACTACGACTACGACT